ACGATTTTCAAGTGCACCTGTCAAATAACCTAATTTTGCGATTTTTATTCATTAATTATAAAAAATAGGAAACATTTAAATAAAAACTTACCAAATATGAAGTTCTTGCCATAAACTTTTAGAACTCCTTTGCACTTTTCATCTCTTTTCTTCATAAGTATAAAAAATTTTAAAAATAAAATAGCCACTTTGTTCATTTTAAGTATTTTTGAAAGTCAATAACTTTCTTGGAGAAAAATGAAAAAATATGGAGTTTCGAAAATTAAATAATTTTAACACTAAATATATATTGTTAGATATATTTTATATAGAAATACTATATTTTTCGCTGATTAAGAATTTTTGAAAATTACGAAATTGAAGAATTCGACTTTATCAGCAAAGTGACATCTATTAGATGTCATTAAAGCTTGGTCGTTCAGGCTGTGTTGGCATGGTGCATTAGTCGGCAGAAGTCCCGCGTTAGGCAGCAACTAAGGAGGTTCGAGTCCTCACAGATGCACAGTGTACTCGAGCACGCAGCTTATTTTTTCAGATCAAAATTAATTCAAAATTGATAATTATTTGTCGACAAATCATATCGATATAATTATCACATGAAACACCTAACTCTGAACCAAGGAGTTTTAATGACATCTAATAGATGTCACTTTGCTGATAAAGTCGAATTCTTCAATTTCGTAATTTTCTAAATATATATTCACTGAAAATTTCGCGTTGGTCCCGAAGCTTTTTTCGAAGGCGGATTAAAAATTTCGTATTTTTTAGGCTAAATTGACATGGGTTTTAAAGGTTTTAAATCAATGTGAAGGTTGTCAACACCAGTGAACCACCTTAAAATAAAGAAGTATTTACTTCATACATTATTTAAATAATTATATCAATTGATAATGATAAATATATTCTTTATTAATAAATTCCAGTAATTTATTTTTTTTTATGGTAATTCTATGTTTTTTGCATATTTTCTAATGGCTAAAAAATTGACAGTTTTCAGCACCTCATATACTTTAAATTCATATTTTACAATAATAGGGCGGGTCAAATTTTTTTTCGATGAAGCGTATAGCAAAAACATTATCTATAGATTATTCTGAGCAATTTTGCTCAAAGAACCAAAGGTCTAAAACGAATTTCGAGCCCCCGAAATTTTCAAAATTGATATTTTTTAATTAATTTCAACTTTTTTCACTAAAATCGCCATAAAAATCGATTGAATAATAGGAGATTGCTCAGAATACGTTTATTGGAAAGGTAATTTTACTATCTTCTTGAAAAATTAACAATATTTGAGTATTTTTTTTAAAAAAGTGGAAATAGTAATTATTAATATTAAAAAAAGAGTTAAAATTGGCTTTTAACTAATAAATTATCTTTTTTTAAAATTTTTTTTAGAAAAAAAAATTTTTTTTCTTTATAAACCGTCTCAAAAACAGTAAAAAAACTTGAATCACTTTTGTTACTTCGTAGTTTAAATTAGATATGAACATTATTTTATATCATAGGGAAAAAAACTTGAATCACTTTTGTTACTTCGTAGTTTAAATTAGATATAACATTATTTTATATCATAGGGAAAAAAACTTGAATCACTTTTGTTACTTCGTAGTTTAAATTAGATATGAACATTATTTTATATCATAGGGAAACTTTTTGAATTTAATCTATAATTTTTATTTTTTGAAACTATTAATTGTGAAAAATAATAAGAGCTTTAAGATATAAAAATTTTAAATTGTAAAATATATTTGTCGTTTGAATTTTTTTTCAATAATGTTAGTTTGAAAAATTTACTTTATTTTTAAAGTTTGGGTCGAGGCTTGGCTTTGGCTCGAGGCTCATGTATGGCTCGAGGGTGGCTTTGTCTCGAGGCTCACGTTAGGCTCAAGGCTTCAGTATGGCTCGAGGCTCATGTATGGCTCAAGGCTTAAGTTTGGCTCAAGGCTCATGTTTGGCTCAAGGCTTGAGTTTGGCTCGTGAGCCTCGAGCCAAAGCCAAGCCTCGAGCCAAAGCCAAGCCTCGAGCCAAACTCAATCCTTGAGCCTAATGTGAGCCTCGAGCCAAAGCCAAGCCTCGAGCCAAACTTAAGTCTTGAGTTAAACTCAAGCCTTAAGCCAAGCCATGAGCCTAAAACTTAGTTTTTTTTGTCACTTTTTAAGCTTTCAACATGGTGTAGCTCAGAAGGACTTTATTCTTGAAGGTTTTGACCTTAATATTTTTTGTTCAGGAGGTGATAATCTACAAAACTGCAAAGTTTAAAAAAATTTGACCGAAAATTTTTTCCCTCTATAGCGTGTGCGGGGTCCTTATAGGAAATTTTTTTTGAATTTTTCAACATTATTTTCTTAAAAAATTTTTTTAAGAACATTTTTGCATACGCATTATTTATATGAAAAAAATCACGTTTTATTTAGATCTTTATCAAATTTTTAGAATTGCCCAAAAATTCCCGGTTTTCTGGTAATTTTCCGGTCATTTCCCTGTTTTCCCGGTCCATTTTGAAAATCCCGGCCAACTCAGGAAATAGGTAGAGAAAAAATACGTTAAAAAAACAAAAAGAATATTAAAATCATAATTTATTATTGAAAAGCCAATTTTAGTTCTTTTAATAATAATAATAATTAATATTTCCACTTTTTTAAAATAAATACTTAAATATTTTTTTTTATTTTTCAAGAAGATAGTAAAATTACCTTTCCAATAAGCGTATTCTGAGCAATCTCCTATTATTCAATCGATTTTTATGGCGATTTTATTGAAAAAATTGAAATTAATTAAAAAATATCTATTTTGAAAATTTCGGGGGCTCAAAATTCGCTTTAGACCTATGGTTCTTTGAGCAAATTTGCTCAGAATAATCTATAGATTATGTTTTTGCTATACGCTTCATCGAAAAATTTTTGACCATACAAATTGACCCGCCCTCAGAAATAATTAAATTTTTAATAAAATTCTTTTTATTTCATGATCTTGATAACTTCAAAATTATTTTTGTAAAGTATTATAATTTTTAAAAATTAGTCAGCAACGACTTCAGTCGAAATATAATGGATTGACCCAAAGAAATTTTAACTCACTATCTGGAAAGACACGAAAAATGCTTCCAAAGAGGACGGATTCCACTTAAAAAGTTAGTTCTTAACGAGAAAAGAATATGCCAATAGTTGAAATTTGTCATATTAATTACTGTGATAAAGAAATTAAGGTGGAGCACGACTCCCCACGAGGCAAAACTCCCCACTCCCCTTATATTATTTAAAGAAACACACCATTCAAATCCGTATAAAATTAAAACATGCGGAAATTTCTAAACAAAGAGTTGCAAAAACTTTCGCTATATAGCGCGTTAGAGGTGGTTCTACGTTGCAACGCAAACTTCAAACAAGGATAAATCATACAAAAATAAATATTTTTAAAAAACCTATATTGGAAATTGTTAAGGAGGATATAAGCTTTCAGATCCATATCACGAAAACCTCAGAAAATTTATTGTACCGTTATAAAAAATCAAAAAGTACCTTAAAACGGCATTTCTTTTATTTTCAAGGTCCAAATTTTCGAAAACCTAGGGTAATGGAGCAATTCAAATTACGGATAAGTTTTCAGAGTCAAAAAATCTATAAGAATTATTATTTGAGTCAATTAAGTAGTATTTGTTTCAAATACTGAAAATATTAGTTCAAATACAGTTTATTTGATTGAAATAAAAATTATTTGGTTTAAGTAAATATTTATTTGATAATAGATGTGACGCGACGCAAAGAAAGGTACCTAAGAAGGCAAAAATCGATTTTCGGATTATGATTGTTTTCGATAAACTAAAGATTGCTTTTCAATTATCTGAAGTCAAAATTAATTTTTATCTAATACTTTTCTTGTAATAACGATTTAAAGATGAATAATTCGTGCTAAGAGTTGATTCTCTTTTTCCCCACGCACACATATCTACGCTCCCCTCTCACTGTAACCATGCGCCACTTGAAGTTCGGGTCGGCATTCGGGAATTAGAGAGAGATAGTAGAAAGAATAGAGAATACATTTAGTGCATCTCTCTTTACTTGCCGAAGACGGCCGAATACACAGACGCTAACTCGAATTAGTAGTGGGAAACGAGAGAGAGTAAGAGATATCGGAAATTCTGCGCCGCGTTCTCGCTTGTTCTTTTCCCTCTCCTGTAAAATTGCCGTTTGGCTTCTTAGGTACCTTTCTTCGCGTCGCGTCACAGATTTTTTTAATCAAATAAATTTTTTTTCAGTATACGATTTTTTTTAATCAAAAGCTGAAAAAATGATTAAAAATAGATAAAAATGATCCAAGAAAGCAAAATATGTTGATTATCAATATTAAATATTTTTGTCCAACTTTCTTAACTGCATATTTTTATAGGAAAAAACCTCAGTTGTCGATTAATAAAAATCGTAGCTTTCATCTCGAAAAAGTCAAATTTATGTTTGACTTTTATTTTTTTTTCAAAAATATATTATCAAATAAAAAGCATCAAAAAAGCTTTTGAATCTGATATTAATAAAATTTATTTATTTTAATATTTAAGAAAAAAAAATTATTAAGATATGCGGTGTGCCATAAAACCCCAAAACTTTCACCCCCTCCCCCTCGGAAAATATTGAACTAAATACGAGTATTACAAATGCCCTGAGTTTTAGCAAAGAAAAAATTTTTTTTACCTTGATCACTTCACCTGAAATCCCCCATATTGAATAATTAATAAAAAGTATGCTAAAATATAATACCTTAGAAACAGAATTTTTCCAATATTCAAACTCATATTTCTCAAAAATCTTGTGTAATGGATTTAATCATGCACTGTTTTACGACAAAAATTTTAGTATAAAAATAGTATAAAAAAATGTTGAATTCTTTAAAATTTTTGTTTAACACATTGAAATAAGTATTATATGGCAAACAAGTTAAAAATGAAGCGATTGGCTTATATATAAAGTTTAATCTACAAATCTACTGTTTTCATAATAAGAACTTACCTTTTCTATTAGATTGAAGGCAATTTTCAACAATTTTGAACCGTTGATTACAATCATGAAATTTCAAAGCACAACGTTGACAAGTTTCACAATGTTCCCATGAATATTTGACACATCTTTTACATAAATCACAGTGCTTAAATGGTTTGCCATTTTTAGAAGTACATTTACCACATTTATCACAATGATTATTTTCTTGTGCAACCCATCGATGACATATACTGCAATATTTATAACCAACAATTTCTCCTAAGTTTATTAGGTTTAATTTAACATTTGTAAACAGACGAATTGGGGTCGTTTTCTTTGGTAAATTTGATTGTTCTTTAAATATTGGATGATTTTCATATTCTATTTTAAAATCTGTCATTTCCAAAGTACTTATTCCTCCAGTAATCCCACGTGGATTAGATTTCATTTTAATTATAGATTCCATAAAATACGGAAAAATGAACATAATTTTTAATTCATTATTAATGTTTTCTATATTATTCCATTTTTTGTGATTATCGGAGATGCTCTTAATTGTTTGTGAAATTGGTTCAGATCGTCCACCAAATGGAGGATCACATACAATGTATACGTCTTTACCATTTTCTTGAGTCAGAAATTCTTTTAACATGCTTTTTGCTTCAGAGTTAAAGAAATGATTGTTGAATAAATTGTACCAAGCATAATTTAGCGGTCCGAAAAAATGATGCTGCAAGAAAATATTGAATTAGAAATCTTTTAAGGACAAAATCAAATTATAGTTGGTTAACGAATAGTTAAATAACTGATAATTAATATAATATAATACGTAGTAAGACCAAATGCTGGTAGAAGAGAAAATTTTTTTCTCTTATACCAGAATCGAGCACAAGTTAAATTCTTATCAAAAATATTGTTTAAGGTAAAGAGAATTCACAAAAAATTTTGATCAAAAAAAGTGGAGTTTTTGAGTAATTTTAATTAAATTTTTTTATTAAAATGGCCGCCATTTTTTTATTTTTTAATTTTTCCAATGGATTTTAAAAGAAAAATGAAAGCTTTTTCAAATGCAAAAAGAAAAAATGAGACATCAAAATTACTTTAAAAGTTATAACACTTTTAAGTTTTTTTCCATAAATTTTAGATAAACGACTTTTTAGCCTGCCTGATTTGAAATGAATTTGGTCGTAATACTTAATTCTTTCTTTAAAAAAAACATAAAGGAATGAAAAGTATCGAATTATTAACTATAATAATCTTTGAATTCATTCCTTCATTCCGTCCATTCATTCATTCCGTCCGGACCCCTGCTGGGTTTTCGGTGACAGAGAAAAGAACAAGTTATGGAGAGAGAAAGATATATCTTTATTTTGCAAATGAGGGTTCACTTGACCTGCAATCTTTTAAAGAGGATTAATTAATAACTCTGAGGACCCAGGTAATAATTTCTTTCTGTCTTTATCACGTAAAAAAACTATAAAGAAAGTCTAAAACTAAATAGGTAACGCATACCTTTCTTTCTTACACCAAGGAATATAACATAAGTACTTCTTCGTTTAACATTGCGTTTCTCTATCTAGACAATTCAAAATGGCATAAGAATATCTTCGTCTAAAATCTTAATCTTCTTCCTTTTTGTTTTGAAAATAAAAATAAATATATATCTATATATATACATATATATATATGTGTGTGCATACCTGTATTAGAGTCCCTGAAAATTTTAATAAAAAAATTTAAAAATTATTACCTAAGTTCTCAGAGTTAATTCTTATCAACAAAGGTTCTATTGTCTAAGGGTATTTTTCCATGTAATAAATGGGAGAAAAGAAATTATTACCTGGGTCCTCAGAGTTAATTCTCATTGATTATTTAACAAAGGTTCTATTGTCCAAGGGTTGGTTTTTTGTGGTAATTAATCCGGGGTTTTAATACAAGTGTATATATGTATATGTATATATGGTATCTGTAATGAACTACTGATTAATCATATAAGAGTGTCCTTTTGCACTTATTGGCTGATCAGTAGTTACTCATTCATAGTTCTCTCATTCTATTGGATATTGGTAGTTGTATTGGATAAAAGGCAAAATTTGTTATATTGAATTAAAGGCAAAATTGGTTATATTTAATAAATGGCAAAATTTGTTATATTGGAGAGAGTGAGCGAGAGGATTAAAGATATTTAGATTTTCATGAATCAAAAATAAAATTAAACGAAGTATACTATGGCCAACATAAAAGAGTATGTTATTTTGAGTGATGAAGATTTAAAAATTGTTAAAAATAGAAATAAATTGTTAAATGACATGCATATGTACAAATTTGAAGATTTATTAAAAAAAGATTCCAATTCTTTTTTCAATATGCAAAGTACTTATACTTTTATAGCTTTAATGAGGGATGTTTAAATGTGCATCAAATGAAATATTTAATTAGATTGTTCCCTTTTAAACCAACAGTAGTTTTTGTAGTTGTTGATCAACAACCTTTTGGTAGTGTTGAGTGTGGAGTATATGCAATAGCATTTGCAACATCTATATTTTTTAACGTAATGTCAAACAGCGTAAATTATGAAACTGATAATAACAGAATGAGAAACCATTTAAAGTCAATGTTTGAAAATAATCGCTTAAATCATTTTCCGTCAATAAGAACGTCTCACAATAGGAATTCGATAATAGAGAATGATTGGAACCGTCTTTTCATAAATCGAGCTCAGGAACTTAAAAATAATATTTTGAACCCTTGTTCTGTTTTAATACTTTTCCCAGAAATAATATTAACAGAGTTCTATTAACACAATATTTAGAAATTAAACATTCTCTAAATGACACTAGTGAAGAGAAAATAATTCGTACAACTAATAATAATATGAACAAAATTTCACCACTTGAATATTCAGAAATGAAGTATTTTCTGAGTGAAGAAATTGATAAAAAGATAATTCTAGGAATTAAAGAAAAGGGAAGGCAACGCGCGAAGTTACATATGAACAGAAAATAATTAGACAAGAGAATGGTAGATTGAGAAAACGTAATCGTAATGAAACAGAAACAGAAATACAAAAGAAAGAGCGCAAAAAAAATTTGACATGCAAAAAAAGAAATTATCTATAGAAACTAAAGATGAAAAGAAAATACACAAGGATAAAAATTTGGCATGTAGGAAAGAAAAATATCAATGGAAACTCAAGATGAAAAGAAAGTGCGTCAAGAAAATAATTTGTCATGTAAGAAGAACAAATTTTCTACGGAAACGGAAGATGAAAAGAAAGTGCGTCAAGAAAAGAATTTGGCATGTGAAAACGATAACCGAAATAAAAAAGTGTAGGAGATGCAATAATGTCTTAAAGTTTTCAATGAAAGTAAGGTTCCACAGAATTATTTAGGTTTGATGAATGTAGAATGTAAGTTTTGTTATGCGTTACATTTTCTGTGTGAGAGACCGTCACATAGATTATTTAGTAGTTGCTGTCATAAGGGAAAAGTAAAGTTAAGCGCCCAAGTAGTACGGAATATTGGTTGAATCTAACATTGATATCAAGTGGGAATATTCCTGTGACATTCAGGCGATATCATAATGTCTTCACGGGGACATTCCTCGGTGATATTCACGTGTGATTCGTATGATATTGAGGGAATATTCCCGTGAAATTTGTGTGATATTGAGTGAATTATTCCTCTGATATTGAGGGAATATTCCAGTGATATTAATAAGATAATTTATAAAATTCTAACAAAATTTCAATTTTTTTTCATTGATTTATTTGTTTAATTAAATATTCAAAATAAACAACATTTTAGAATTTTCTAAATTACAGGAATATTGTCTCAATATCACAGGGATATTCCCTTAATATCCCAGGAATATTTTCTTAATATTGCGTGAATTTCACGGGAATATTCCCTCAGTACCATACAAATATCACGCGAATTTCACAAGAATATCACCGTAGAATGTCCCCATGAAGCGGACATTATGATATCGCCTGAATGTCACAAAAATATTCCCGCTTGATATCTCCTTGACATTCAAGCAATATTCCGTGCTCCTTGGATGGTAGATTTAATATGAAGAAATTTTTTTTAAATTTCTAATATTAAATTTTTTGAAAAAAAAAGAAGTGAATAAAGATATGGTTAATGCACACGAGCAACGTAGTCGGCCGCTTGCGGACGACAAAGTTGCTAGTATTGAAATAATCGATGACACACAAAATGAGAAACATTAAACATGTATCAGAGAAAGACATACTCGGAAGCAAAAAGAGGCGCGTTGTAAATAGAGCTGTGTTTGTCCAATTATTGGCGCTAACTTTTCGCTAGGTTAGTGGAATAAAATGACACCTCGAAATTGTTTTCAAAAAGATGCCACGTTAAAACGGAGCTGAAAAACATGACATATCGCTATTTGGTTTGAAGAAGATGACACCTCGAAAACGAAAATTTTTAAATGAAATTTCACTTTGTGCCACTGAGCGCGAAATTTCAAATGAATTGTTAAATATTTGAAATTGTAATATTTTTTCACTGTTTTATTAAACAAATGAATTTATACTTCAATATCTCAAGTGAAAGTGAAATGAGGTTATCAAATTTCTATACAACAAAAATATTATGAAAATGTTGTAAATATTACTAGGGGTCTTCCATTAACCACGTGGCGGCCCACTTGGGGGAAGGTGGGTGTTAGTAAAATGCTACGCTAGACTACACGGGGGATAGAGGGGTCTAAGCCTAAAGGAACGTAGAATTTTTTTTAAGTATATTTGTCACAACCAGATAGAACCTGTGAATTTTGTGGGTCGTACTTTGCTTCTAAAAGAAAAAGTTTTCCCACGCCCAATGTAGGCACAATAACTTTAAACTAATTCCTAAGCAAAAAGTAAAAAAAATAATTGCTAAGCGGAAAAATGAGGTATTATGCGAAGTGGATTTAGTGAGATCTGATTCTCTGATACCTACAATAGAATGGTTTGAAGAAAATGATGTTGAAACAGACCTAATATGATGTCAAATTGACAATTATTTGTCATTATATTTGGAATCAACAACCCTGAGAAACCCTCGTATACTGTCATTTTAGTTAAAAATAATCACTGTTTAGAATAAACAATTGTCAATTGTTGAATTGACAGCTGTCAACTGACAAACTGTAAATTTGACATCATCTTCGTAATCAGCGTTCCTGAAAACCTTTATAATATCATTTTTGTTAAAATAATCACTTTTTAGAAAAGTTGATTATACTTTTATATTCTGAAAAAAATAAGCCAACTCCCATTGAAAAATGTTAATATTTAAAAAAGTTATAAGCATTTTTGCAATATTAATTTCTTATATTAAATTTTATTAACTAAAATTATATTTTAATACATTATATTAAAAATAATAATAATTAATAATTATAACAATTAATATCATTATTATATAATATTTACGCAATAAATAAATAAACCTACATTTGCTTAAGAATTGATGTTTTATTCATATTATAGTACTTTTATAATTTTTCATTCGAATATTCCCACAATATTCTATTGCTTTATTTGAAATAATCCTTTGGTATATTCCATTGATGTTCTAAGAATAAAAAAATATCCGACCTTTGGAATGTCCCTTTGGGATATTGTAGGAATATTCTGTTGGAATATTCTTGTAAGCTCGAAAAATATGATGTAAATTTTATTTTTTTCAAGAATATTTATGTATTATTCATATTATAATA